GGGGCATGGCCCTCTACCTGGGATCTCTTGAGCATATATTGACAACCTTTATAGAAGCAGAACATTGGCTGCCATGCTTTACTTGTGACAGGTTAGGGTGTTACATCTGTGTTGTGTCAGGATTGACATTAGTCTTTTGTAGAGTTTAGATAATGGATTGTATGGGATGGTTTGGATGGGGATGATCCTCTCTCAGGCAGGGGGTTGGACTAGATGACCTCTGGAGGTCCTTTCCAGCCCCACTTCTCTGTGATTCTGTGAACTAATCAGTGACTTAGTGGTTTCAAACTGTAGATGTCACAGCTTGGATTCTGTGTCACAATAAAAGAAAAATAATTACCATGCCCAATAGCTGCCAGAAAAGACAGAGTACAAGAGAAACATTAGCGGTTATCAGAATAAAGTAAAAAGTCCCTCATTATCTTCCCAGGGAAACTGATTTTACTTCAGCATTGTTATTCCTGATTTATAGCAGCACGACTAAAAGAATCATGAAAGTGAATTCTATTCTGCTTTAACACATAGAAAAGCATGATTCTCCTCCCACCCCAGAATGAATCAGAAGTAATTATCTTGAAATAAATGGAGCTAGACTAGTGTAAAAACAGTGTGAGGGTTGGGAGTAATTATTTCAAAAATTTGTTTCTGATGTGTCTCTTTAAAGTCTATAATTTGGGTCAATAACCATAATGGCATTGATGATGACAACAGTGAGTGAAGCATTGCTTTGACTTCCTAACCCTGATTTAAGCCATTACCATTAGTCTGAAATGAGAGGTCTGTTTTTCTCGCTTGATGTACACATAAATCAGGTTAATATTAATGCATATGATGCTTACTTTCCTTTTTTCCATGGAAAATGATATCAAGTGTTTAATTGTAGTATGGACATGGTAGCACAAGCTGTGGTTAAGGCTGTGACCCAGAATTATTTGCCCCTTAGCATTTACAACACTGGAAACATATTCTCTCTCATTGGACTGAAAATATACATTACCTGATTACAACAAAAAAGGTGAACCTTTTCCTTTTGTACCAAGTTGAGAAAATCTGTTCAGCCTTTTCTGAGTTACATGAAATGATAACAATTACTGAAAGGAAGGAAATACTGCTATATTTTTTCCATATAGATAATTGTAATATGGTTGGACTTTATTGCTAGAATTGATGTGTAGCTCAGACAATGGTAACTCAAATGTACATATATGACTAGCTTTAAACAGTTAATGGGTGATAAAGTTATGCCACAATAAAGTGGTAAAAGATTACTTCTCAACATTGGCATTTGATAGGGTTGTTAACATCACAAAGGTATACTCTGTCTAATAAGCTCAAGGGTTTCTGGTCTCAGGTTACCTGTGGGACAATTCCTCTAAGCAAAAGGAAGGAGTTACTTACCAGTTACTAGTTCTTTGACAGTACCTTTACTTACATGTGTGGCATAATTGTGCTCCCTAAATGCGTGAATCTTTTAGGGAGCAAGGGTAATTCATACCTGTCCTTCTAAGACTCTGTGAAAGGTTCTGAGGACTTAAAAAGAGGAGAGACCCCTCCC